GCAGCGACCAGGGCATACGGGAGTAACCTGTGCGTACGGAAAGGAGCGCTATGATAGCAGCTGTTAAAGAATTAAGCGGAGTGAACGTCGTCTCTCTACGACGGAAAAGGAAGCCTGGCCCCCGCATGAGCGCGGCCCCTTTCAGGGGTGGGAGATGAGCACGTTCTTTTGAATGAGCCTGTTAACCCTGCCCGAAGAACACCCCTCCTAAACCCTGACCGTGAAAGACCTTTAGGCGTCACTCAAGTCATCCGTGGTCCCCCCAACTCATGTCGGTTGGTGTTTGGGAGCCTGCGCCAGGAGAAATGGCAACCAACATGAATTGACCTTTGGCTCCCCCTTTGTACAGCATGCTGGGAGCTCCACTCCCAGTCTGGTGGGGCGCTCCAGGAGACGATACAAAGCAACACACCTAGACAAGGGCACAGTCCCCCTCAACACCATTGGCTCAGCAACAAACACCTAGCTCACAACGGCTGTGCCTCCGTTCCAGCTTGGAGCTGCACTCCCCCAGCAAAACCGACAATTCTCCGAAAAGACCCAACCTTACCTGCCTCCCCACCTCATCCTGAACAGAATCTTGCGTCACCCTGCCTGGACCTTCCCACCCCATCCCTGAAGCCTGATTCGTTGCACTTGCGACGGCTATGCACTCTCTCTCTCTCTCTCTCTCTCTCTGCTTCCCTGTTTTTGCTCATGGACCAACCGACATCGTCAACTGCAAAACACTGCGACCCTTAACCTATTCTCGGTCACACATCTTTTCCTAGGATCGCTGATGTTCTCCACCACGACTCGACATGGGGGTCCCCAATTCCTCAGGAGGCATGGCATGCTTTGCTGCGATTTAAGGCTGCTGCACTTGGGTGACCTGCATCGATACTGTAAAGAAGGTGGGGTCCTTCAAGCACTTGAACAAAGCCAAAACACGCGAAGAGAATCTCGAACATGGACAGCAGCCTGGGATTGCAGAGCTTTCGGGTCGCGGCGCCCGCTTTGTGCGTAGGCGGTTAACTCGAGACATGTGAAGCTCACCCCACGAGCATCCTGTAGTATCTGGGGGTCACTGCAAGATCGGCGAATGCATCAGAACAGCCAAGGGGAGGGAGATGAGCAAGGCTCATGGTGGCTCCAGGTCGAAGACCCTTTAAACTTTAGACCACAAACCGCAAAACAATCGATGTGACAAAATTGCCAACCAGCACAGCAACGTGCGAGAGAAGGTTCCATAGTAGCGGAAGACTTGTTCCCGGATCTGTGGGTTATTTGTCCTGAGCTCCAGGACAATGGTGAAGAAACGATAAGCAGTTTCCTCGTCTGGCCTGAGAACAAGCTCAGCCAACGTAAACGTCGAGCGGTCACTCAAGTATTCAGGAGTGTCCTGAATGAACATCACCCCGACCACCAGCAACAATATGAATACGAACGACCAGTTGCTCACATGTCTCCGGTCTCGGAAATGATGCAGACCGTTGCTGGGTCAGGGGCTTTCAGGCTGAAAGCTGTGCCCTAAACTCTCCACGAGTGCTTGCAGCTTTTCTGAAACGTTTCAGGTGTCGCGGGCGGGCTACAAGCATCTTATTCGGATGGGTCACTCGGTCAGGTTTCCCACAAGTCGGAAAACGTAAGAATACCTAGCTAGAATCAGCTAGACGCCAGAATATCATAGGGTGGACAAGGCGATTAAAGATAACTACATCTGGAGTTGCAGCAGCCCCTGGCTGGTCTGAAGAATCGGACCCCTTCATGGTCTCCTCAACGTGCATTTCCAGTTTCGCGTATAGTGTATGGTGATGAAACCCAAAAATCCGTTCAAGGTTCAAGCACTAGTTTCAATGGCCCACTCGCAACGCCATGGGGCTTCCGCTTTACAGCAACAGTCACAGTAGCAGCATCAGACCGGATCAGTTTTTACGGGATTATGGGCATAAGGATGCGTGCAGCAGAAATCACATAGTGTAACAACTGCTTCGCAGGCCGCGCCGGAAGCAATGCGTAACTTTCTTTTAACCTGGCCCACACAGCATTGAGTCATGAGATTCCTGATATGCTCATGACTGGGATTTGAGATATTCTGAGATGCTGTCGATGGTGTCGATTTGCAGACCCACTTGGTCTTCACGCTGACCCGGTTGGAGTTGACCTCTTGCCCAATGTGTCGCAACCCAGGTGCGGGTTGAGGACGGGTGATAAACGAGCACCCGCGCCGTTTTCATCCCCGACGCAACCTGTCAGGGGTGTCAACCTCACGCTCCTTTTAAACGAGCTTCCCCAGACAGGCATGCCCGTTGCCCTGGTGTTGCAGAACCGAGTTTACTCAGCACAGCTGCGATGTGCTGCAGTGCAGACATTTGCACATGTTTCGTCCATCGTGACACCTTGCTTCAAAACGTCGATTGCTGCTATGACTGAAGGGCATCATTGATTTCATCAGTGACGGCAAGTGGTACCTGCCCAATGTCGAGTATGAATAGCAGGCTGTAAGCATGGCTTTGTTGCAGGAAACACTGAGAATTCAATTGTTGCGGCTCAACCGGAAGATGGGCAACTCACGTCCCCAAAGCTATGCAAGCTGTGGCGAGAACCTAGCCATGTTCGCTTAGACGATTTAGAGAGAGCTCATAATGATGTGGATGGGATTGTTAGGCCACCGAAAGCGTGCGGACCGAGCTAGCATAGAATCTTGTTTGCATATGTCAGTTTATGGGTACGGTTGATGCCGCTAGTGCCCACAGGGTCCGTGGCTTTGAAGCCCTATGCCCATGAAAGCTCCGTGGTGGCAGTCTGACGCTCGCGAGGCGAAAGACTGGGTGCCTAGACAAAGTCGCTGAGCCAAAAAAAACCAAGTGGCTAAAGGTGCTTGCTACTCTGTTGCTCATGACACTTGGGGTTTTAGAGCTGCCCGAAAAAAATCGTTGGGCAACTGTGCAGAATAGCAGAATGGGCCCCAGACAACCACTTCAGCCGAAGCTCTCGTCCTCGATGTAGTCACGGCAGAGGCCACTAACAAGCATCCCAGCCACACATTGGATGCATATCAACAGGCAAAAGGTCCAAAACCTTGGTGAGCTGACTCAAGGCATGAACTGAAAAGCGAGTGACTAGTTGGTTGGGCCGCAAGCTCATTTTCCGTGCACTTCAATTGAAGTATTGCCTCGGTCCGTATTCATGCGCAATCCAAAATCAAACTTCGTCTACTTTTCAACTCTAGCCTCTAGCGTGCGAGAAGCTCACAGCCGCTTCCCGGGATCCTGAAGACAACTCTGCTTCTGTACTTCTGGTGGAAAATTATTACTGTTGCTATGATTACTAATATTACGATTACGATTTTACTATTATATGTTCATCTTCCAAGGACTTCTGGCCAACACACATGGAGACGACTTTGAGCTGCTGTAGGGTTCAGAAACTCAAAGTCAGGCCTGCGAGAAGCATCCTATAATAGTAACCATTTGTATTTTTTGATACTAACATTGTTAGTATTCTTTGTTGTAGTTCGTAGTCTTACGGTTTTGCGGCATTCCGGCAGCGCGGTAAGTATAAAGTCGTCTTCAGGCAGGCTTTGAAAGCAATCCACGGAATATTCAGACTAACACAAACGCACCAACCGCACTGGCCTCAGAAGTGTTCGGATTTCCATTTCCGGAGCCCGAGTGGAGAGCTGGCATGCGAAATGATTCCCAGTTAGAGCTGAGCTTTTGAAGAGCTAAATCTCTGAGAACTCTACATGGCGGCTAGGACATGCTACGAACACGTTGTCGTGGTGTAAACGTTGCGAAAAGATCAGTTGCAACGATGTATACATGAAGTGGTGACCTGAATTTAAAGAAACAGCAAGAGAAGCAGCTGTGCCAGTGGTGACTGGAGCGACGCCTTGACAAACTACCGTCTCTCTGCCCACCTGTGATGGACTAAGTTCTACCGGCCCTACCACTGGTGACGACAAGAAGGAACATCACACTTAAACAAGAACCAGAAGACTAGACTGATAGATGAAGGAAACATACGAGTAGTACAGAGAGTCGGCCTGCGAACCATGAGTCATGTACCGCCTGTGTCCTATGGTCTCAACGATATGTATTCGAATGGTGGGGATCAATCAGTAAAGGGAACAGCATCTCGACGCTGGCTTGTAAGCACTTCGTGAGCAGCTCCAGAGACTGCAATACCTCCAGCAAGCGATTTGGAGTTGCGGAAGCCCAGAAGCAAAAATCCTGACTGAACATGGGGTCCTGTCACTGGGCACGGGAGGAACAAGAGTTCTCTGCAAGACACGCCTCCACTCAGTGATGTGGCTCGTTTTCACTAGCGGGCTTCAAACATTGTTGCACCCTGATTTGCTAATTTTTATTTTGTCGGATTCAGGGGATTCCGACGGTTATGATATGATGATGTGTTCCAGTTTAATCACGGGCTGACGATAATACAATTGGGTGGTATGCAAACCTAAGCTCAGATGGTCTTCGGGTATGTTTCTGTCCAGTGGGGTGGCAGCGCTTTTGCAAGTCTCGGCGCGCGTCACCTGAAACTATGTAAAGGTGACAACGCCCGGCTAAACCTCTGCAAACACTCGGCGGCCTAAGCCAATGCCGAACAACACATAATAAAACTACCATGTAGAACTACCCTCGAACATCACATGAAGCCTTCCGCACAGATGAGTGTGAAGTTTTGACAGCAAGGAGCGTTTGACAAGGTGATCAGGCGCAGGGCGCGAGCCAGTTTCCCGATCCGCAGCAGCCGGAATAGAAAGGGATTCACGGGTGTGACCATGATGACCTGCGGTCGCAACAAGACAAGGAGCACAGCAACAAAGGTCGTGCCGATAATGAAGCAGAGTCCTCTACATGCTAGCGATGCGAGGAACAGTGGAGGAGCGAACAAGACTGTAGCTGTCGTATTTGAGAAACTGGCCACATGACATGAACTATGTACTGCGCTGCGTGCGCGTGTGTGTGTGTGTGTAAGCAAAATGACCATCATCATACTATCCATAGTTATGTGAAGTGAAGATAACTTCAATTATAACAATACCAACGGTAAAATACTCTAATCCCTTCCCACTAACGATAAACCCCCCCTTACGTAGAAACCGTACCGGCCCCGGGATTTTGCGGTTTCGGGCCCAAGATTGAAAATTCATTAAAAACATTAGGGGGGGGGCCTAGGATTGTATTCGTTTTAATAGAGCCAATAATACAGCAGTACTAATGAAACCGGAAGCACAAGAGCTTCAGGGTTAAGGGCTTAGGGCTCAAGGTTTAAGGCTGAGGGCTTTTGGGTTTAGGGCTCACGGGCCAAGGGCTTAGGGCTTCAAAGCTACAGCCGGAACGGCTGCGTGATGGACGGTCTTTGTATGTCTTTGTGTTTGGCTCGCTATTCCTTTCAATCCGACTCTTACCCGGATGCACCGAAACCCCTAATATAAAAACCAAACCCCGGAAACAGTCTTTATGTTAGGGAGGGGGGGTCCGCTTAACTCTAGGGGGAAGGGATTAAAACAACAACAAGAAATCATGACATAGCTACATATGAGTCAGGTCTGTTGTGTGTATTATGCATATAACACGCCTGGTGCTTGTGTTACAAGCAGAACTGAAAGCAGAGCATTCAGGATGTTGGCCACGCGACATGTCGTCAAACGCGAGCACAGGTTAAGGCTTCACGAAGGTAATGTGCACAAATGAAGCACCACTTTCTACTCTCTGGTGCTGTGTTCGCCTGCGGCCTCTTATTACAAGGCGACATGTCGCACAGGGTACCCCGGCCTCAATGATCGAGACCAGAGTCACCAGGACGTCCAAGTAGTTCATGCACTGATGCCAGAACTGTCTTCTAAGTGCGATGATGCGGACCTGGGCCCAACCGCAAGCCAAGCCGAAGACACGCACATTTGCGACAGCCTTTGGTTGATGCTTTCCAGCCGCCACATGCCAGAGAGGCAGTGGTCTGAAGAGTATTTAAGCACAAGCTTGAATGCCTGATTCTGACATCACTGCGACGAATCCACGAGCCTGACACCATCTACATACAAGTAGTGCTTAGTTTTCGGGCCTTCGTACCGTACCGCTTCAAGGTGTAAGACAGACTAAACTTCCAGTTGCATGTGAATAGTTAGTATAGGACGAAATAGGCCGGGTCATGCTATACCAGAGCCGCACAGTCAGAAAACGGATCTTCGCAACAAGCATGACCCCGCAGCAGCTGCGCTGTTCAGACCCGTGGCACCAGCATAACCCAAGCACGGAACCGAAACCCAAACCAACAGGAGGACCCGTGCAGGAGACTGCAGAGAGACGGCCTGTTGCCTGTCTAAACAACTACGGTTCACACGTCCGGTGACGGGATCAAAGATCCGAGGGGCAATCACATCCAACGTGTACAGAGAGGTGAAGATGAGGTCACCGGTCTGAAAAAACCTGTGCTCGATGTCCCCATTGAGCAACAGGAGTCTTTAACACTTCTTCGGAGCCGTGTCATGGCAGGCATGTAGCGTCGGACTAATCTCCAAGGAACCGCGTCGCAGACTCTTCCCACTCTGCCGGAAGCAGGGTGTAAGCGTTGACGTTCAAACGAAATCCGGTGTACGAGCCGGAGACCTGCCACAGTTGTCGTTGAAAACAGCACAGAAAACAGAGATGTCGATGCAACAAGACCTTTTCAATACCCGAATCAGCATCGCCCACTCAAAAACGACGTGCATCACTGCGTGAAGTTTAAGCAACTCTGGAGGAGATGCCTGAATACGGCTGTCTTGAAGCAGGCGTGATGACAGTCGGGCAGCCCCCCAAAAATAACTGTCTTAGACACCGTAAGCAAAGCAGCAGAGAAGCTTTACCCCAGAACCTTTTGGCACAATCGAACCGCCTGCACCTGGGCTCTAAAAAGCCCGAACGAATTCTCAAAAAGGTACACACGCAGCCACACACAAACACACACAAACAAACACACACACACACACAAACAAACCACACACACACACACACGAAATTACAGGGACACCAACCCAAAAGGCACTTGACCTGCAGCTCCAGACTCATCCAGATCACGTTCAAGCACAGCAGTGCCGTCAGGACCAAGTCGAACCTGGTTCCAGAAGTTTGAGATCTCAGTGTGCATGGGATTCCAAGCAAGACATCTTGAACAGTCTAGTCGGTTGGCAGTGCGACAGTCAAGCCCTTGCTTGATAACATCGCAGAAATAATATGGACCCTTCGGTCCGGATTAGGCAAACTTCCACGGAACTGGACACAAAGCACGGGGTCGATCGACAGCACCGAAAGCAGCTTCAGAGAATCAGTATAGCGGCCTACATAATATAGAAAGGGCTTCGGGGGACATTTTGTGACATAGTTCCAAGCAAGAAACCGTATAAACTCCAAAAAAAGGAACCCAAGGATGTCTTCTCAAGGTTCTTTTCGCATGTCAACTCTCGCATTTCGGAAACTCCAGGCGACAGTGCCTTCGCTCTGAGATGCCTCCAAAACCTATGTAGCAATTGCTAGGTCTTCACAAAATCTGCAACTCGACCTTAAAGTGGCGACCAAGAGCTTGGACTTCAGGGAGCATCATATCTTCTGATGGGTTGTCTTGATGTCAGGGAATACCCTTGGTCTGCTTTCAGAGCACTCGCGGCCCGGCTCTGAACACCTAGTTCAGGGCCGGACGGGTTCTCGGGGGCTACACGGCTACATGGCGCTTGCGGCAGAAAGCCTTGGGCTCATGGCACATGATCTTGAAATCAGCACATTGACCAGCATCTGTGTTCAAGCCGAGGTGCTTGTGAGAACCGAGCCATGAACGAATGCTATCCGACGTCATGCGCGTCCTAGGCTGCGGCATCACTTTGCTGCTCCGCGTGTTGCAACGAACAATCCAAGTCAAAGCTGCTAACACCGTACTAACACCTTTCACCTCAAGAGCATCGTCCAAGCCCCTTTTGCCAGCATACGTGACCCTAAACACGTTATGAGAAGCACCCTCACGCCGCATAAACCTTGACTATGCGTGAATATGCAATTGAAAGATCAATGCTGATCAATGATTATTCAGCCCGGTCTGTGGCGACCAGGACATTAACTGACAGGACTCCGAAGACTTCCTGTAGTAGAACCTGCGGCCGGGGTGCGTGATGCCGCTGACTTCCTCGGTGACCGCATCACCTCTGGCACGGACGAGCCGGGCTTGGCTTGGACTTGGAGGCTGTGACCGCTGAAGCAACACTTGCCCATGCCAAGTTGCGCAACATCTGGGGCGTGGCCGTTCCGTCGAGGTCCAGCTCAAACAACCTCGATTCTTTTCGGAGGTCTTTCGAAGGCCATGCCATGAAGACGGGGAGCCTGGCAATCTTTTTCTACTACGGGCAAAACAAAAATCGTCAGCGATAACATGCTACTGAGTTCTTTGCGCAAATGATGGCGATGGAACGAGCGTGACAGCTCCAGTTCAGCTTTCAACCATTAACACCGTGGTACTAGTACTGGCGTTTCTGAGACGGCTTCCTCGAACCTCCATGATCGAAATGGACAGCAGTGACTGGGAAGAGCTGTGTTGGACCATCGGTTCAGTTCGGCAGGCCATGACACCAACCAACACAAAAGGCATTCTCAGCTGCTCTTGCTTTTGAGTCTGTTTGAAAATGCCAAGGGCTAAGAACACAGGGCAGTATCAGCGACAATACGGCCAATCGGCATGAAGCTAATTTTCATTGCACTTTTCTGACTCTTTCGTGCGAGGCCATGGAATAAATTATGGCATGCCTTTTGAACCCGGTTCTGCTAAATAAACCAAAGAGCCCAGGTCCTAACATTCGGCATCCGGTTGCAATGCAAAGGTTGTGGTCAAGGTTCACAGAAACATGCTGGCCACTTTAAATGGGTATCAAGTTGGTGCACGGCGAAGGGCACATTTACGCCTCAAGGCCCAGGAGCAATTCCTCAACCTTCTAGACAAGTTACCCTTAGTCCTGAGATTGGACACCTATGCGGCTGGCTGGCAAGCCCCGAAGTCCAGGTCCGTAATCCAAGGCACCTGCTCAGCCTTGAGCAAACCTCCTATAGTTTACTGTGGGATCTCAAACGGCTTCGTTGAAGCGAGCTACGTCTGATGGGTGCCGAAGACTCCACCAATCGATGGAGACGGCGTGTTGAAGAACCTGAAGCTCATTCAAGCTGTTTAGGGGTGCTACAGCTACAACTACGCAAGGCAGGGCGGCGTTGCTGGTACAGGCGCATAAGACTCAGGCGCATTAGCCTGGAATGGCCTCCTTTTGACAGGTCGCAGCAGCAAAAGCAAGAGCAGTTGGAGCATCATGGCTTCATACTACGGCTGCTGCGACCACTCCTTCCCCTGTGGCTGCGGCAGCTGCTACCACTTGCAACAGTGACCTTGGGCCTCGTCACAGGAGACACGCATTCGTTTTGATGGCTGAACCTCGCATGTAGAGCCTCACTGAGCTGCGAAGACATTAGTTGAGGAAGAACCCCACTTGTGGCTTGTGCCACGAAGTTCACTTCTTATCGTCGTACTATTTGCCGTGGTACATGTATACGACATCAGGCCACATAACGCCAGAGAGGAATGCCTCCGAACATTGCAGCTTTGTGTCATGTCGTCAACCATTATCATTGTCGCCGCTATCATTGCTTTAGGACTCTTTCTGGCCAGGAGCTTTTCCGGGGGCGTGTCCTTGTGGGCCAGCGCATTGAGCACCTGGAGGCCATGGACACGCGAGCCAGAGCTTAAGCCTCATTGAGCTGCACTGTACCTGTGATTCTTCCATGTCTGAAAGAACTGGGCTCCACGGTATGGGCACCAAAACTCGCACAGCGTTCAGAAGCTTTCTCAACACGAGCCTTGACTGAAACGAAGGCCCCGCTCAAGATGAACTACATAGGCGGGGGGTTGGTCGCAAGCCTCTTGAAGCAAGTGGAATATAGGAGTGAGTTAGTTATGGTAGATGCTAGTAGATGCCCAAAGAAGTCTGCTTAGTACCGGGCGATTGTTGCCAGCTGTGAGCATGTGCGTCCAGTGAAATTCACATGCTGCTCGTTCTGGAGCTCCCAGTCCAAATCCTCCGGCCCTCAAACCCTGAAAAGCAACTGCCAAACCCTCGAAGCCCTTGTTGAACGAGGTCTCTCTGAAGTGCCTCGAAGCCCTCAACCCTGAACTCTGGTAACCAGAATAACTAGAAAGCGTAAACCTGCAGCTGCTGCGCTTCGATTTTGGCTACCCTCCAGCCCATCCTCACCTGGTTCGCTTGAACTTCAGGCGGCTGACGACGTGTCTCCAAGCATCGTTCCTTGAACCTCCAGATAGATGTTGGAATTCACAGTGAATAACGCTTGAGAAGAAGACCATGTACACAATATTGAGTAGATAGAAGGCACATCCATAGAACAGATGTGCATGCATGACCGTCCAAAGATGCATGTAGACGAGATGCGCAAATTCCAGGAAAGGTTTGGGAGGAATGTCAGCCTAAATTTATGTTGAGGCACAATGCTGCGAAGCACCTCCAAACCACACAAACAAAAAAACCTCACACCCTACATGCTGTCTTGAACTAATTTCTTTGTCACTGACCTATTTGTGTGGAAACCAATTATACTCGCAGCATGTCAGGACCACCAGCCCAAGCATGCAGCTTTGGGTTTCAATCAAAGCTGCATAAAACATGCTCTACGAGCAAGTCGAATACACTATAATCTAGACGGCACAAACACAAACTTTTCTACCGGAGACAGCGTCCACAAAGCACGTTTCAAGCCACGGAGCTTCTTAGCCAAATTGTTGCCGCTTGACTCACGGTTGGTCTCCAGGGAGTTCAGACGCTCTAACTTCCTTGCTGGCTCGGTTGGGCTTTGCAAGGTTAGGGCGTACGATTCTATGCGCTTATGCTTGCTTGCATGCACGGACATCCTTTGGAAGTGTCAGCTTCTCAGGGTTATACGCTCCGGCAGCACCAACACTTCCCAAGCATGCCGAAGATTCTGGGACCGCGCGGATTCATCCATGTCCTGCAGAATCGGGTTTGGCTGGGCGAAGGATCGCCGTTGACCGGGTTTAAGGGTCCAATGCAACATATACATAATTAATAGTAATTAATCCTCCCATGCGTGCCAGACTGGGTGGCGCAACTTTCGACAGCATGCAAAGTTGTTTCGGCCGACTTGCAGTACAAGCAGTAGTAAGTAACGTTCTCTGTTTAGATGAACTGTGCTCTGCGCTCATTCAACTTCTGCTCTGTGGTCAGCATGCTATCTTCTTGCCATGCCGGATTCACTACAAAGCCGTCTCGCCTGCACGCACTAAGACTCCAAGTGCACAATCTTGCCTCGTAGATTTGCAAGGTAACCCTTGGACATTGAATCGATAGATAAAGCTTGGCTTAGTTACAGTAGGGTATGTTAGGGTATCTGATGGGATTACTTCAGGGTTGAGCGCTCGGGGTGTTGGCATTCAAGTTGACGGGGCTAAAGGCCTCGTCTCGGACAATGTACATATGAATCAAACTATAAAGTGGAAGGATCCGACCTCGTTGTCGCTTCCCTGTAAGAAACCAACACAGCCTGGGCCGCAAACTCCCGGTGCTCCTTGGTGATTTTGCTTGCTTTGCTAGCATCTTTCTCCAGGCTCGGTCGCCGTTGCTGCTGAGAGTGCCCATCCGCTTCCTCGGAGATGCAAGTCCCAAACTGCGAGAACCACTGTGCCCTCTTGACTCTTGCTAAGACTTGCTTCAACTTTCAATGTGTCCTCAGGGTATAGAATGGGCATGCGACATACTGTACTCTCAGTTAACTTGCTCGACTCGAGGCAGAAGCAACCTGAGACGGGAGACACGGGGAAGACCGGAAGCCTGAAGGCCTGTCAGCATCCATTACGAATCAAGGCTGCAAGCCGAAACCCAAGGCTTGCAATCCAGGCCCAAGGCCCACAGCCCTAGCTGGAACCTAAAGCGTGAGGCACTCCAGGTGCAGGAAGCTTGGCACGAGGATTTGCTGAAACAAATTGCCTCTTTTTCGGCTATGCGGTGCGATGTTTCTTAAGCGCGCCGCCGAAACCCAATTGCCGACCATCAGGATGGCGTAATTACAGCGCTAGCAGTGGAACTTTACAACTATGGCCAGCCTCAACAATTTCTAGTCATGTTCAGACTCCCAATGGTCTCCCAATCCCGCGAAAACTACAAGCAGCAGCGACGTGAACACAACAGCAGGCAACTTCCCAATGAACAAGAAACGCTCCTATATTGTGCTTCACAGTTTAGAAAAAAACACCACAGACTAAAGCAGATGAAGGCTCAGCCAGCTCGATAAGATGCTGCTGCACCTGAAATTAAGCTTCTCGGGGTTCGGGGGCGTGCTCTCTGGCACTCTCCGGGTTTTGGGGTGTCCTTGACTAGATGCGAATGGCGGAGTATGGAGGTTTTGGACCAGGGTTGTCAACGCGGGCCAATACACAGCGGGGCGAGAAAATCAACGAGTTGCTGTCGACGGAGAAGGATACTCAGCGTACTGTAAGAAACCGCCAAGTCGAGCTTGGCGGCAATACCCCGGGATCCGACAATCACTTACTGGCACTCTATACTGCAACGAGACCCCTAACGGCGCTCCAGTTGATGCCAACCAATGACGATGACAACCGGAGCGACAAGGACAACAACAATAACAACCGAAAGGCGAGAGCGATACGGGTAGGAAGCCGAAACAGCACTCGCAGCAGCAAAGGTAGGATTAGCAGAACGCACAACACCAACACACGCGCGGACACACACACACACGCACACACACGCACACACACGCAGACACAGAGACACACACACACACATGCGTGCACACCACATCCAAAAAATAACATAGACAAGCCATGAAAGCAGCAGCCATGTGTACCTCTTGTATGTGTGTGTGGTGTGTGTGCACGATGTGTGTGTGTGTGCGTATATGTATATGTATACTACATATGTATGTATGTATGTATGTATGTATGCATGTATGTATACGTTATATGATATATGTAAATACACTTGTTCACAGATTTGTTTACGTATGTGTTTATGAGAAAAATATATATATATATACATACATTATATATATACACACACACACCTAACACACTGACACACAGACGACACATCTGCATGTCTCGGTCAACCACGCACGTTGCAGGTCTGGGAGATACCTTATTGCCTCTTGAATATGCACGACATGGCGACATTCGTGTCCATGATGATCACCGGCTGTGAGTCACGAAGATCCAGATTGCCGCAATAGCAGCCCCAATGTACACAATTCCCGCTACGATGTAAAAGTAACCATGCCCCGGTCACCATATCGCATGTGTTCCATTGCTTCAGTCCAGAAAACCTTATGAGACATCAGCACGCAACAGTTTCAGAATGTCGCCGAAACAATTAGAACAATCGTCACTAGAATCATCGTCGCCGCCGTGACCACCGTCTCCAGGCTGGTGTCAAACAAAAAAGAGTCTTTCCCACCCACAGGTTTGCCGAGGCACGATTTGGTCCACAACCCGTTGAAAGTTCCTGGCTGTGGTTTCGGGCACTGAGGGTTTAGGCTTCTATGTAGATGTGAGAGGCTACAATTGCAATCTCAATTTGGAGGTCTTAGCCTTTCATGCACAGGCAATGCCCGCCCCATCCCCCAGACGCACAATTTGCCACTGGCACTGTGCAGCCCAGCTGCTCTGAGATTTGATACACTGCCGTCGCAGCCGCGGAGGCTGCTGACGGTTGAACTTCAGCCGCTGATGGAGTCGGCATGGGCAGCGCAGGAATTGGCATGGAAACTGTATGAGTTGCAAAGCTACATGCTTTGCCAATATGGTTAACTCGGGGCGCCTGTCAGTTAGATCAGGTCGAGTAACGTCGTAACGCAACCAGACATGAAGACTTGCGCATCTTGAGTTCAAGAGTCGCACTGCTTATTATACAATGTAGGCAGCACTTCCAGGACCGCGTGTCTGAATCCGCTGACCCAGGTGTAGGCCTTCGACGATCTACAGACCACCGATGCGCCAACATGCAACTACTGGACAAAGCCGCATCCGGGCAAAGTGAACTCGAAGAGCAAATCTGCCATGTGTAAGAGACAAGTCTTGAACCTCAAATGGCCTCGGCGGACACGTCGTTGCATGACTCTTCCTTACTCAGTCCCCTTGACTACAAAAGCCTTCTCAAACTTCCCATGCTTGTCCAGACTTCTTACTTCTTATCCTGTTTTTCAGAAACCAGTCTCCAGAAACCAACCTTCACCACAATGTCAAGCTGTAAACTCGGTAAATTTTAGAACCTGCGCTCCTTCTCAGGCTCCATTTGAAGAACTCGGTACTGTGGCCGACGGTCCAGCATTCTGAAGCTGTTGTTATTACGCTTTAACCGTCTTTAACCCTAAAGACCCAGCTGCATTTATGTTCGAAGCTTTCGACTAAGACAGGAAACCACTTGCACCAAGCATGGTGAAAGTGTAAGTTCCCAAACCGCATAACCCTGAAGCTACACCCCTGAACTAAAGGAACTCCGGAATTCCGCAAAACCATCCTGCACTGCCTGTCCTGAACTCGAGCTCCACATCCCCGACATCCAGCCTCGGAGGTCGCACGGCTAGCAAGCACTATGCTTGCCAAGCTCTTGCCCGAAAATTTTGCAGGGTTCAAACCCAGAGTATCACAGACTCCTGAATGACCTCGTACTCCCAACAAGGCTCAAGCCCAAATCAAGCTCTACATCGTGTGTTTAGCAGATTATGGACTTGCCCCTGTTTTGCGAAGACGGGTGCCGACATGATCTATAAAGCTGTGGCTTCGAATCCTACCGCAACTCCTTTTACCCGACAAAGACATGGGGTCTAACCTCCAGCAAGGCAACATGACATCCAGGATCTTCTCCCGCAAGATCGACGGCGAGAGCAGGTCGAGCTGGGTTCCAAGGCAGCGGTGTAACTACTCCGTTTCAATGGGAGAGCAACACTTGCGCTGGCGGGGAAAAGCCCGGGCTATAGGGCTTGGCTGAGGCACTCAAGCATATAACTTACCCTAAATCCGGGTACTAAATCCGAGTATGGGCCGAAGAACCTTCGGCATCGGAAAGGATGCGGCTGTTGGTGCTGGAAAGGTTCTGAGCAGCATCATGAGGATTAGGAGCGATTCAATGCTACTTTCGCACTCTTCTCATGACGACTACAAACAGGCGCTTACAAACAGTAAGAGAATTGAGGGATGATGAAGGGTTACGCGAGTATGCCGGGGTTTACGATTGTACGCCTTAGAGGCTTGGCGGCTTGGTTTCTGAAGTGTCGGCCGAACCTAGGCTATTGTCAACTCTTGGCCATGAGCTGGGAAGCGGACAAGAAGTTCCCCCGCCCTAAAACCCAAACCAGCTGGAGCTTAGAGCTTAAAAGGCTTGAGGCTTTAGGGTCTCCAGATCCCGAAGCTCCAAACTCCAAGCCCGCACCCTTTCCGATGAAGTACTCGTTTAGTCATCTTTTGCAGGGCTTGCGCTGCGGCAAGAGAGTTTATTTCGATACGCTAACCTGAAGATCGAAATCCGGTGCCCAAGTGGAACTGCGAGCAGAGGCCTTGCCGGCGCCTTCGGTCCGGATCTTAACTTGGATGCAGGGGAGGCTGAAAGTTTGATCCCGAAGACCAGACCCCATTATAAGCCTCACAGCACGACACAGGCAACCCAGCAGACACTACCGACGAACTCAAAAAGTCCCGGGAAAACCCAAGATCTCCGGCCTGTAGATGGTTCGTGGCAGGGTGATGCAAGTAACCGACAGACATCTGTGATAGTTGGTAGGGTACGAGTCATGCCTTCTCAAGTTTCGAGCTTATACAGTTGCCTTCAAAATGATGTGGGAGTAGTCAAAAGGAGCATGCAAAGCAACAGTTGCCGGGAGTTCTATCCCTAAGATCCTGCGGCATGAATGCGGAAAGGCCCAAGCCACTTTGGTCAGCTCGGGCTTAGATGAAGAAGCTGTAAATTATACTTCAGGAGATCTATGTCCCTGTCACTCTTTGGCATGGCTAGATGAGGGTACCTGTCCTTGGATCACACATTGAAGAGTCTGGGCATTTCGATTTCAAGGGCGCTCAGCGTAAAGGGTGCGCTTACGCCATTGAAATCTGTCTTTAGCCCTCCAATGTTGTAAGAGTCGCTTCCGGCACGGCAAGCAGGCGATCCTCCCAAATGCTTCTTCAGGAATCTAGGACTTACGGCAAGACAGTCGCGAGGCATTCGGGACATTGAGCAGCACATGCCTGCGATTGCTGGCCGGGGGATTCGACTTTGCTCAGCACGTGCTTCCCTGGTATATCTCTCGGTGTGCTCAGCTAGCCTTGGCCTTAGTCATTTGCAAGAAGCAACATGCAAAGGCTCAAGAAGTGTGTCTGGGAGCCCCTACGAAAGCCTGAAACCTCCCATCCAGGATTTTGAGTCTTAGCGGTCCTTTGCCACACCGTCGGTCTTGCGACATAGACGATGCATGTGTAGTGTCGTAGGTGCTGTTGACCTGGGCATCGGGACTGGGGTGTTCGCTGACGTCGCTGACTACTCGGGGCTATCTCTTGAGCCTCATCCAGCAACACGTTCGGCCAGCATTATAGTCAGGTCAGGACACAGCACTCGAAGCCTGTTTTTGAAGCACTGGACTTGGTGACTCGAAGCCGTCATGATCATAATTTTACTACCTGTCGCAACATTCGCAACAAAGGGCTTCTGTGGTCCAACTCTTCCTGAAGCTTCGAATCCGAAGGACCAAGGACCCAAGGAACTCTCTGTCAGGATGCGTCTAGCAGCAGCACATCCAGCCAGCTACCAGGCCTTTTTCCAGGGTCTGTTGGCTGAAGGGTTTACATACCATTGCCGCAAACGTCAGCACGAGCAATTGACCACTCCACTCCCTCTTTGGAAAAGACCCCTGCTTCTGACGCGCAGCTTCAATCCCTCAGTTTAAGAACCATGGTCATCTAAACCAACCCACATCTGCATGTCATTCGAGCGTTGTGGGCCCCCTGTGCGTGAGGAGTTGCACAGGTCCGGCGGTGTGCTGAATGTAAAATGTGACGCTACATGGCTCTTTATGCCCTGCATAGCAGCCGCGGCTCTACTGCATAATTCAGCGCAGGTACCTTCAACACGCACGGCTTCTAGAAAACTCTGTCCGCGACGGCCTAGATCAATGGTTAAAGCTACAAGCGTGTGTGCAAACCCTGCACTTCCATGCTCCCCACCTAGCTGAAACTTTGGACGGCGCGTGGCGCTCAGCCCAAAGCCGGGCATCCGAAACATACTGGAGCTGAGGGGCAGCTCAACTTCTCCTCCACCCTGGGTCTCCCGAAGCTTGGCCAAAATGCCTGTTACGGTCGACCAGTTGAAGGTTTGTTTGTAGATTTCGTTATGCGATATATCCTGCTCTGATTTCAATACAGCACGTCGGATATGCAGCGAGGACTAGCAACAATTAGGTTGGCTTCGGTGAGCCCTCTGGCACACCGTCCTCTATTGCAGGAAACGCTTCCGTAAAGAACGAAACGGCTGCAGAAAAAAGAAACGCTTCAGAGTGCCTTTCGAAGAGATCCTTGGGAGCTTCTGCTCAAGCTCTACAAAGGCTCACTGCACTTCAGAACCCGGCTATTTACGCTAAGTCCTCATGATAGCCAGCAACCTGATTGCGAATAACATAACAATGTAGTCGCGCACATCAGGTAGACAAACACAAAGGAGGAATCATCTAACCGGACATCACAAGTAGAAATGCGATGCGATGCTAGATGCTAGTAGCCGTTGCGTCTTCATACTGCAGTGAAACATGCCCCAATGAGCACTAATCAAAGCCAGAAAACCTGCACTCTTGACTCCCACACGCCAGAACTCGGCACGCAAACACTAACTCAAGAGCTAGCTACTACAGTACAACTTACAGACATGGCGACGAGTTTTCTTGCTTCTGCTACCCGTCTGCTTGTAGCAGCTGCTGATGCAACTGGCCCTGGTACCAGCACCACCGCCACAACCGCGACCAGGACTCTGCTGGAACTACGCCTACCATTCCCACCAATGCTACAGCTGCCGTTGCGACGACTTCTCTTCTGATACTGTCCATAAAACATGAGCGCCTATGTGAATCTTACTCGCCAGGGCACGCTTCACTCCTTCGAAGTTCAAGCGATAATCGGAGAACTCCTTCAGATCAACGCTCCCGGAGATGATTCCAAGCGCATCCTCGGCTGATCTTCTCACCGGCGAATCCAGCGAGATCCCACACAAACATCGCAGCACTATGTTAAGATGTTGAAAAATGCTTCGTGACCCGTGCGTAAAAGCTTATGCACATGCTCGGTCTTGCTTGCGGTCTTGTTTGGGAGTATGATGCACGTCCAATATGCTCCAAGTTTACCAGTTCAGCTGCGAAGTCTGTCCTGTCCCCCACGGAATACACCTTCTGACACAAAGCAAGCGCATGCAAGCGCGCAAGCCAAGGCGAACAACAGAAGGTGACCACATCAAGGTAGGTCGATCTATGCATCCTGCTAAGTTCAGAAAACCGCTTTTCGCTCGTCTGTTCTACCAGCTCGTGCAGCGGTCGAATCCGGAAATGACGAGACTCTTTATTTCATGGCCGTCCGTATACCTGTCTATCTGCGATACCCGATTTTAGGTCGTCTTATAGATGCTGCTGGAACTGCTATCGAAGGGACTTGGAGAAGGAAAGGCTGAGATTGGTGTTCGGCTGTGTCAGTGTCTGATCAAAGCACACTTGACCATGGTTATGCGGTACACTCGAAGAGATGGGTACGGTTTTGCCGCACTAACTCGGCTGCTTTCTACGAGGGCAAAGCTGCATTCCATAGACGCGACAAAACATCGGTGCGATCGCATAGGCACGGCAACTGAACTCCAACCAGTGCTAAAAAAATGCCGATGCAAGTACACCAGCCAGGCCAAGCATGCTTCAGATGGCCGAGTTTGCTGAAACCTCACGTGGTGTATGTATATATATATATGTATGTGTATATATGATGATGATGATGATGGTGAGGATGATGGCGGTGATGATGATGGTGGTGGTGATGACGATGACGATGACGATGACGATGACGATGACGATGATGATGATGATGATGATTTGCTTTCAAGTCACTTCAAAATGGCTCTGACAACAAATCAGCCTCTTTCCTCGCAGCGTTGGTGCGTGTCACAAAACAAGCGTCCTCCTTTGAAACGCCCGTTTGTCACCCTTTGGTCCTTCATCCGAAACCTGAAGCTCATATTTGAGCTGGTCTCGGCTCAATTGTCAATAGGAACGTCAGAACTAAGTAGACGGATGTCAGTGACGGCTTTGCCACTGATTTTCCCGCTCTCGGACTTCGTCTGCAAGTTACGAGCTTTTTCTGTGGCATGTGCCCGCGAAGAAACGGGCAAGCTACCAAAGGGCTCAAAGGCTTCATGTCTCTGGTTTTTTTCTGAAGCTTCTGAGAAGCCGCAAGGCTCTGAAAACCTCGTGGTCTTAGACATCTATAGACACTAGACCTCGGAAGCGTCTTTCTCGACTCTGGGGCCGACTTTGAGCGCAGAGGCTGCCCCGCATGCAGCTAGGAGGTGCCCAATCTTCAGGTTGCCGGCAAGGACCGCCTGATGCAAGCAGCGTCGGGGAGAAGGGTTGAAGACGTTTCTGCTCTGCGGGCGTCGAGTCAGAGTCGAGTCTCTGCCAAATTATGAAACAGCATTTTAAGGCAAGGCCGTCGGAGCGCTTAAGGGCAATGCTTGTCTTCGTTCCGTTGAAGTGCCTGCTTGAGTGCCTGCAAATACGCAAACAAACAGAGGGCACAGGTTCACATCTGACAACGCATACGTTTCGGGAAGCTGCGCCTGAAGTCAACCGCGAAACTACGGGTAGTCACTATGACTATGACACAAGTCTCCTTCGGCATCGATGCATGGCGAGTCTCTCCAACGCAGTAAAATCGTTGAACAACCGCTTGTCTCGTGAGGATATTCAATTACATGGGAGAGCTACCAGTGGTGCCAGAATCTCCAGATGGCGAGCGCCTTGAACCCGCCAACTCAGTAACACCAATGGACCAAATCACGAAGAAATTTACGCAATAGAAACGCAAAAACTAATTATAAAAACCTCTCTCTCTGTATATGTATACATACATACATACATACATACATACAGACATGCAGTGCAGGTACAATAACTGTACTATATAGAGGAATCCTGACACTGGGAAATAATCTTCCGCAACAAATGCCGTGTGCTCTGGTCAAAAGCCGGCACATGGCAACTTGCTCCCATCCTCCCGAAGTCATTGCAAACAAGTTCACGTTGTAAATTCTATGCTTGCGTCAACTCTCGGTGTTCTCGTCACGTCAGCACCCTCACTCTTCAGGACCTACCGGCTCTAGCGGACAATCATCCCGTCCACCCCAGCAGTCGAACAGCCTCTGACCCGAAACCAAGCTTCGAATCCCACATGAACCTAGACCTGTATAGGGGAACCTTGTCATACACGGTATAAGACCTACAGAAAGCCCTCTCACCCTACAGAAAACCGTGTCGTTCTTAAGCTGCAGGCCTTCTGCCAAGCGCTTTCACCTGCGTCGTCCAGCGCGCCGACCTCGGCAGAAAATCCCAGCAGCAGCTGGCACACCTGGCGGTGAGGCTCAGCACACTTACTAAACAAGGTTTTCGAGAGGCTCAGGGGGAAATACTGTAAGGTGGAAGTGATAAGCTGTGCATAAAGTACTATGAGCGTCCCCTTCTGCTAATCGAGTGAGGACATGAGGCTTGTAGTGTTTAGAGGGGCTGAGGCTTGGGGCAGAAGGGCAGCAAAGCTTAATGTTTAAAATGAATTGATACATGGCTCTAGGACCGAAACACCGACTCTATGGACCAGTTATATTTCATCTCAAGATCTCGGAAAACGAACCTCCAGAGAGCCACGATCTGCCGCGACCATGAGCGGCCGCAGGCCCCCAGGCGCCAGGGGGGTTTCCGTACTCGCCTCCACAAGCCGGGATGCCGGGTCTTGGTCTAGCGTCCAACCGCAAGCACCGAGAAAACGTCTGTGTCTGTGTATGTATGCATGTATGTTTTGGTTATATATGCATGTATGGATGTGTGTACGTGTGTGTGTGTGTGTGGGTTATATGTGTGTATATATATACATAAAGAAAATGTATGTCTCTGTGTGTGTATGTAGATGCGTATACATGCGTACACAACTTCCTGTACAAAGATAAACAAGATAAAATCAAAAAGGACGGGAAGAGAGAAGGGGCACTTAGATGGATAAGTCAACAAGAAAAATGTACTTCATTGTTATATAGCAAGTAGCCATAATCTATGGAATAACTGTAGTATGACCATAATATACTCGTAAAGTATAGTCACAGTATAAGTATAGACAGTTGTAAGTAAATATTGTATTCAAAACAACAGCCTTCAGTGTCAGCAACTTCGACACGAGGCCCTGGTAGCGCCAGTATGCTGCGATATGCAGCATCGTAGGCGCTCCGAACCAGGCGACGTAGTCTACGTCCACCTGGCTTGAGAACCAACCCTTCGAAGATCTATACGGCTTCTATTTGCATTTAATAAGGGTTCTACAAATTCTACGGATGTTTTCTGAATGTTTTTCTACGTCGCGATCTAGTTTTGGAATAGTTTCCGTAGAACGATGATTCAAGCACTTCGGGTTGGAGTTAAGCCAATTCCCAGGGTCTGATCAAAAAACATAACATAAAGGAATTGCAGTGTCAAGGACTCAATTAGATGCGAGACTGACTTCCTCCGAAACCTTAAGCCCTCGCACCTTGCCCTCTAGCAGCAGCTCGATAGCGGCGGTTTGATTCGCACGGGCAGCGAGAGAGGCCGCCGTGTGGCCATGGAGGCCTCAACATCGTAGGCCAAGTGCTTGGAGGCTTTGTTTGGAAGACTGGCACGTTGCCGGCATTCTAGCACAGCTGCAAACTCAGTAATGAATTCAGGCCACACGTATTGGGAAATCCATTTCCAATCTATCTTGTGTCCGATCGCAGCCCAGATGCTAGGATGCAGATGCGCTCGCCGCCTGAGTCAAGAGTCTTGCCACCAACTGTTAGCCCTCGAGCGAGTCGGTCTCGTAGAGTGCACTCTATGGATTTTTTGCAGGTAACTATCGCGATACATGGTCTTTCAAACGTGTAACGCAGCATGATGTGTGGGGATTGGTCCCTGCTTGCACCTCTCTTTTCTCCAATGGAAAAATGCACAAAGCATAGTCGAGCTGATTTTATTGGTTGAAGATGAACTATTGTCATCGTGATTTGCCGCGGCCAGCACGTGGGAAATTCGATCCAAAAAACATCATGATTGACTGCTTCTGAGCAAGTTTGAAGGGACATTCGCTGTATTTCTTGCTGCATGTTGATCTTAACCCAGTGGTCCTTGCTGTCCTTGAAACACTGCTAGTGTGGTTATGGTCATGATAAAAACGTCATTTTGCGTATCTCTGCACATGCTCCTTCGTGTCCCCACTTGCACAAAGCGACCAAACACGCATATTCAGCCAAAGCATGCGCGCCGAATGGCTGCAAAGCAGCAATTGTCCGGGTGCAAACCGCTTTGGACGGTTTACCCCCGGACCGGCTCAAAGTAAAACTCATTATATTCGTTTGAAAGCTGAAGTTAAATGTTCAATGTTGCCTTTCAGATGCAGGGAGTCTTCATCTCGAAGCGCCAATTCGACAAAGCTGTGGTTCGCGCCAAGTTTGGATTGCACGGCGGCCGGGAAGCAAATCGGGTGAAGGCGACTGGCATCCTCACTGAAGTCCCGGCCGGTGGTCTCGAAAATGACGCGTGCTGCGGTCGCCAAAGTTGCATGGTCCACTCCCACAAACTTGGCTTGGTAGGCATCCACAACATCACACGGAAGTGTACATTTCTCCTTCTCCGGCTTTGTGCGTAGAACGAGATGTCCGTGCTGACGGTGTCGGGCAATGACATAGGAGGAGAGCTCTGTGCGGTCCTGCATGGCGTCGCACTACTGCCAAAGGCAGTGGGAAGTTCGAAGGTTTGCTGCGGCTGCCCTGGAGCCAAAAGCACGATTCACCTTTTGCAGTTGCTGTTACCTGTTCCCGCGCGAGCCGCCTGTTGAAAATGCGCCCTGACTCTGCCCTGAGGCAACGCTCGTGGTGATCTAGCTTCCATGGTGCTAACAGACTTAGGACATTTGTAAGTCTAAAGAAATCCATAGACTGTGAATGTAGGCATGTGTAAAAATGTACAGATACAAATACAGACACACATACATTAACTCACCTACCTTGCCTGATATACCTTACATTGCACTGCGTTAGATGAGATTAGATGTAGATTAGGATGAATTACATTACAGACATAAACATATTTCTATATACATATATATATATACATACATATTCTATTTATGTGACTTTGGGTGTGCATGTGTGCTTGTGCCTGTCCATACATACGAGCCCAGTAGCTCCAGCAGAAGTCGAACAACCTCGAGATGTCCCCGCTCAGCCGAAAGCATCAGCGCAGAGCGGTGAAGGCAATCCCTTGCTCGTTTCGTGACAGGCTTGGGGTGTATGTGTGAATATACAAAAGTGTATGTGTACATATTTCCTACATGCAATTTGTTTGTTTATATAATACATGTGCAGCAATTGGAAGGACGTCGTCGATTCGGGCTGATTATCCAGAGGCAGCAGCGGTAGAGGAATGCGCCTTGTTAAAGCTTTTCGGGCTCTCAGCAGTTCTGGACTTTGGCGATACAAGACCTCAGCAGTTCCGCCAATCACCTAGCTGCGGCAAGGCATGCATCCCCACGGATAATAAGAAGATGCCGCAAAGATCTCAGGGTGCTACAGCTGTGGGACGGATGTCTTCCAGGAAGGTTCGGGTGAAGCAAATTCTGGACGTGGAATGGCTCATGCGGACGTAGAAGATGTCGGGCGAATGGCTAACTTATCCGTAAAACCCTGCAGGCCCCGTGACTGCCGGCTGTTATTCTTAAGAGGAAGCCCCCATTCTGTTCCTGTTCAGCCTACCCTTGCATAATGCGTTCATTGAGCAGTTGGTTAAGGCAACCAGCCGAATGCAACACTTGCCAAACTTGTAGATGCATGCCTTGTTGACCTAATTGAGAACGTGCATGTGCGGCTTCATATTGATGAAGACGTATTTCATATTTATATTTATATATGTACATAAATGAATACGAGTGCTATATGCAGGCGCCGGGTAAGGGCCTTTCGGGGTAGATGTATGCTCGTGTAACCATGTACCCATGTTCCCAATGTCGCATAGAGACAGACAGAGACGGAGACAGAGAGAGAGACAGAGAGAGACAGACAGACAAACACACTCATTCACTCACTCACTCGCTCACTCACAGACACACACACACACAGAGCTCAAACTTCTTCACCAACCCGACCATTACAATACCATACCAAGCATTCCTCGAATCCTCCCTCCGCCAAAACTTCAAGAAGTGGCCAGAGCGTCCTTGCATCCGGCCGCGCGGAGGCTTCAAGCAAGGCCCAGCCTAAATTTTTCAGGTTTCGAGAGGCACGGTCCAGCGGCAGTGAAGACGGCGTATGTTTCAAAAACGAGCAAGGTATCAGAAACATCCTGCTACTTGGCCCAGTGGCAGGTCCTGGCACTGCCATGCCAAGCAGCCAGGTGCAAAGCAGTGACCCCCTCCGTTCGGAGCTGCTGCAGTGAAGAGCCTCCCTGACTAGGCTCGCACAATATTCTGTGCCAGTGGTCGTCATGTAGAGGGGTCTTGGCCGTAGGGATCTCAAGCTGAATATGACCACTCTTTGTGAATGCAACATGAGGGTTCGCTCCAGAATCCAGCAAGATCTCGCAAATTGAAGCGAAGTTCTTGTATGCGGCATGCAGGAGCGGAGCGCCGCCGTGACCTTCGGGACCATCGATCGTGGCAGCTGCGCAGAGGAGCAGCTGCACCAAGCTAGCTTGACCAGACAAGCATGCCAGTGAGAGTGGGGAGATGGCACTCAGGGAATCCTCGGTCACAGAACCAAACCCATGAGAACCCGAATTACACCTGCTGTTTAACCCTGATCCCAACCCCCGAACTGCTTAAGCCGCGATCCCACAGTAATCGGAACACACACCCACTCTAAACAACAAAAACCGCTACAGCAGAAATGCGAAAAGCTATTCCACCGAGATGCCGAGGGTGGGTTGACCTCCGCCTTCCGGCCTCGGCTTGCAGGGAAGAGCGAGTGGAGAGAAGCAGGCTTTTGGGGAATATGTACCTCTATATATATATATATGTATATGTATATGTATACGTGTATATATGTATATATATATGTACATATACGTATGTATGTAATTATGAATGTATGTTTGTGTCTGTGTGCGTGTGGGGGCCTTAGGGATATCATAAGGTATTGCACTACATGAGAATATGACTCTATAGGCTATAGTTCCGGATGCTGAAACACGCTGAAAAACGCAGCAGTGCCCTGGCAATGTCCAGATGGCCCTGGGCCGCGCTCACATGCAGTGGCAGCCACCCAGTGCCTCGGTGTGGGCAGTGTGGGCATTTCTGTGGCTTTCAGGTGCGTCAAGGCTTGCTCCTGGTTAGGCTTTCGGGTCCGGGACTTGGCTTAAATAGTTAACACACGTGCGCATGATGTGTCAGAGGAAAAAAATGTGTGTATATATATATACATACATACATACAGATACACATTTGTACGCGAGCCAGTGAAAGTGTAGGTGGGCGCATGATGGCGCCTGTCTGGTGGTTCCAGGAAGGGCTGGGAAGAGTAAGCCGAAAATTGAAAGCCAGCCTCATAGAATCGTTGATTGGGAATTAAGACACAGAAGTTTTCGAAGGCCGAATCTTTAAGCACCTTAGCCTGCCCGCAGCAAAAACGAGGTTTAAGGCACGGAGTAACCGAAGCAGGTTTTTCGGGCATCTTCATGAATCATCTTAAATGCTCTGCCGTCACAGTTGCCGTAGGCTTTCAGATCATCCATGTCATTATGATTGTTGTTTCTCTCTCTCTCTCTCATGTTCTCGCACTCTCTTCCATAAAGATTCAACACATATGTCTGCCTGTATGTGTGTGTGTGTATGTAGGTATGTATGCATGCATGTATGTATGTACGTATGCATGCACACATACAGGCGTAGAGCAAGAGAGGGAACGTTGCATATCTTTGTTCTTTTATTCTGATTGTTCATGTATGCATGCTGTTTATCTTAACTACCTAACCAACTAACGAACCAACTAGTTACCTAGCTAGCTAGTTGACTGACGGTTTAATCATCTATCTGGGTTGATCTGGAATCTATGCACTTGCGCTACGTCGGCCCATTTCAACCCAGCCGCAGGTTGGAACACCGTGGGCGTTGCCGTCTGTCTCCTTTGTGCATCACCACGGCTTCGTCGGGGATTGGACTAAGCTGGGGTACCCTGCACGGCGACGCCGAGCGGCCCTTTGGTGTAACCAACCCTCGACTCTTCACTCTTATATCGGTCCTAAACCCCGTCAGCCCTAAACGACGACTGCAGAACCGGCCCTTCCATAGTCTGCGGTTCAGGACCTTCTCCCCGCATTGATGGTTGAAGGTTGGGATGTACACTCTCACAACTCGGACAATCCAGGCGAGGTCTCAGCCGTGGTCGGAATGTAAACAAGCCTGCTCCGTGCTCCCGCAACTCTTCAAGAGAGGCCTTAACAAAGATCAAAAGACCAGACCCCAAACATATACAGCCAACAGTCTGGCAGAAGGGAGCTTACAAGCGGCTGCCGTGAGCACGATGCTCACTCTTCAGGCGGCTCTACAATGGTCCCCGCAAACTGCCGTCTCGCAAGGGACTACAGTAGCCCTAACTAGTGGTAACAGGCCTACACGATTAGGAAACCAACAGGGGGCAAAGAATACTCCACAGGGCAACTACACATTGGTAGTAGGGTTCGGCAATCCTGTCAGGTCCGTGCTCTCCAAGTGTGGAAAACAGAGTGCATACAAACCCAGTCCAAAATTGGACAGCGGGGCAGCAGCTGTCTGGGTTGGGCTTTAGGATTTGGGACTGATAGTTTGAAGACCATATAAGGCCTGTAGGCGGGAAAGCTGCTGTACGACAGCTAACGCAACAGATGCGAAAGATCGGAAACACTCCATGACTCAGCCATGCTCAGCCAGACTCATTCGACAAGCACCAGAATAGCTGACTCTCTGAATCTGCTCTGAGGCACCAGTACCCAGCCGGCTTGCTTCATGTCCCCTAACAGTGAAGCCTCCAGCAGCTCTGGCGGGCCTGGCACGTCTGCAAAATAGAATTCATCTGCCGGTCAGAACTGCAGACTACACTACACACAAAAAAGGCAGCCTTGCTAAGCTCTGCCGGGAAGCCCATCTCGCTCCGAGGCTTGACCGGCCGCCGGTGGTCGGGACGTAGCTGCACGCGGCTTTTCACCGCGCCTGCTCGAAAGATTCATGCCACAAATGAGGTGAGGATTGCGACTGCGAAGCTGACAGGATATGAAATTGGTGAAAACCTCCACGCCAACGTTGGTAGCCGTCTTGTGTCGTTTGTGTTATGCTTAGTCGCAATTACGTTTCGTAACACACCGTCTTAACTTAACTTAGTGTCGGTGGCAGCACTGGTAGTGCTACCGGGTAGTTGCTGTCGTGTTGGTCGTCACCGTGGTGGAATTCTTATTGGTCGTCGTAGCCGCAGCAGCAGCAGTAGTAGTAGTAACAAGTCGTGGTGGTAGTAGCAGCAGCAGCAGCAGCAGGAGTAGTAGTAGTAGTAGTAGTAGTAGTAGTAGCTACTACTACTACTACTACTAAGTA